CAAAGGGGGAAGAACTCTTGTCCTTCCTTCCTCTGTGTGTTTAATAAATGCCTGGGGAGCACCTCTACCCTGCCCAGCACTCACTGGGAGAACCAGAGTGAAGGAGACACGCCCGAGGCTCCGTGCCCAAGGCTGACCCAGGTCCACACAGGCGACCCCACAGCAGGGGAAAACGCCACTGTGGGAGGCCAGGCAGCCTCGCGTGTGACACAGCCGGGGCCTGACAGCAGACCTGCCTCCCTAACCTTGCTCTGCCTCCCACTCGGCTGGGGGGGAGGGGGAAGGTGGGATTAAAAGTCAGATCTCGCAATTCTTAACTCAAGGGTCTTCCCACTTCACTTCCTTCTCGGTTCAAGTACTTACTCTGGTACCTCTGTCTTACGTTGCTTTCGCTGCTGAAATTGGTCAAGTGTTTATTTTAGCCTAAGATCTGTCTCCTAACTGGCATTCTCACTATCACTTCTCTCTTAATCCTCAGAGCGTAACTTAAGTGATTTTTGCCAAACAAAGTCGATTTTGTTACTGCCACTCCAATCGGTGGCTTTTTGTTACTTGTAGGTGAGAGGTCAAGACTCATCATGTGTCGCAGGGGAATGGGGTAGTCTAGCCACTACTTCCCTCTCCTGGCTTGTCTTGCTCCCGTCCTTTGCTCTCTCACTCTTCCATTCTGCCACCTGACCATTGTTTAGGCTCCTCCTACCCCAGGGCCCTTGCACCTACTGTTGCAATGTCTCCCCTGCCCCCAACTTGTGAACTTGCATGCAGTTCCCAGCCTGGTCCTTGGGAACCTCAAAGAAGTCCTTTCCAACATGCACCTTTGTGGGCTGGCCTCACAACACCAAGGGCCTCTCCTTGTGGCATTGACCAGACTGGCAAGCTTACTTTTGTGTTTACTTGTGTAGTTATTAATCAGAGTCTGTCTTCCCCACCGAATTGTCAAGATCAGGCCATATCTGGTGTCCCTCAGTCACCCTTTTATCCACACTGCCTGCCCTAGCGCCTGTCATGTGGAAAGTGCTCTGCAAACATCTGTTGACTTTAAAAAAAAAAAAATGACCATTTTCTCTCAGCATCTAGAGCAGAGCTGAATGAAAACAGATTGGGAGAGCACAGAGTCGCCCATGTCCTAATACACAGTATCTTCTAGTATCAATCTGAGTAAAATAATTTCACTTAATGGCTTCAGCTGAAAAAGCCTTTAAGGTTTATTGCTGTGAGGTGGAGAAGCCTCTTAGTAGAAGTGGATGTTAGATACAGCTTACCTATTCATTTATCAGTTTTCTGAAAATGAACACCCCAAGTGTTTATGTGATCCTACTAGTCAATGTTTTACTCTCCCGTTAGAATTGTTTTTTCAAATGTGATGTTTTCCCCCTAGCTTTACTGAGGTATGGCTGACCAAAGCTGTGTGTAGTTAAGGGGTACAAAGCGAGGATTTGACATACATATGCAGCGAGAAATGACTACTGTGCAGGCACGTTCATCAGCACACTCACCACTTCACGTAGTGACCAGTGTGTGGGTACAGAGGACACGTAAGGTCTGCCCTCTTAGGTAAGTTCAAGTGTACAGTACAGTGTTCCTAGCTGTAGTCACCTTGCTATTTATTAGGTCCCCAGAGCTTGTTTATATTACAACTGAAGGTTTATGCATTTCCTCAGCCCTGCCCTACAACCCCTGGCAATCACCATTTCTACTCTCCGCTACTGTAATTTTGACTTTTTGGATTGCACATGTAAATGAGATCTTGCAGTATTTGTTTTTCTGTGCCTGGCTTATTTCACTTAGCATAATGTCCTCCAGTGTCACTGATAGCAGAATTTTTGACTTGTTTGTGCTAGAATAATATGCCAGTATGTGTGCATCACGTTGACTTTTCTCCTTCATCTACTGATGGATACCTCGGTTGTTTTCTAGTACTTGGCTGTTGTACATAATGTTGCAGTGCACATGCAGACAAAGGTGTCCCTTAAAATACTGATTTCATTTCCTCTGGCTCTGCACCCAGACAGGGGTCTACTGGATCACACCATAGTTGTACTCTTAACTTCTTGAGGACCTGCCATACTGTTTTCTGTAAAGGATACACCAGTCCACAGCCACACCAAGAGTGCACCAAGGTTTCCTTTTCTCCATGTCCTGGCCAGCACTGTTGTTTTGTTTTGTTTTTGATAAGATACATCCTGGTGGGTGATATCTCATAGGTTTTTTTCTTTTAGTTTTTAGTTAGTTTTTAACAGATTCAATATGCTTTGCAGACACATTTGAGAAACATAATGATATTCCCTTCCTCTCTCCCTTCTCTTTTTTTTTGAGATAACATTTTAAATTTAAATTACAGTAAAAAGGCTTACTACTTTACCCAATAAGAAGTTTAATAAGTAAAAGGCCCTAGTTGGAATATAGACAGTGGCTATAAACAATAATTGAATGGAAATTATAATTACCAGAGTCTTTTTTAAAGATTTATTTATTTTAGAGGCAGAGATAGAGAAGGGTCGGGGAGGGAGAGAGGGAATCTTTCATCCATTGGTTTACTCCCCAAATGGTTGCAATGGCTGGGGCTAGGTCAGGCCAAAGCCAGGAGTCAGGAAATCCATCCCAGTCTCCCACGTGGGTGCAGGGGCCCAACCATGTGGGGCCATCTTCCACTGCTTTCCCAAGTGCATTAGCAGGGAGCTAGATCAAAAGTGGAGCAGCTGGGACTCCAGCTGGCACCCATATGGGATGCTGGTGCTGCAGGCGGAGGCTTAACCGTCTAAACCACAGCGCCAGCCCCTTTGCTACTCTAGTTTATAAGATCTGTGATTACTTTAAAATGTACTGTATACGGATGAAGTGGCGATTTTCCCTTGTAGTTTTTATGTTTTCCTGATGACTAATGATGTCGAGTACTTTTTGCATATACCTGTTGGCCATTTTATTCGGATCTTTTTTTTTTTTTAATTTATTTGACAGAGTTATAGACAGAGAGACAGAGAGAAAGGTTTTCCTTCCGTTGGTTCACTCCCCAAATGGCCGCTACAGCCGGCGCTGCACCGATCGGAAGCCAGGGGCCAGGTGCTTCCTCCTGGTCTCCCATGTGGGTGCAGGGCCCAAGGACCTGGGCCATCCTCCACTGCCTTCCCTGGGCCACAGCAGAGAGCTGGACCGGAAGAGGAGCAACAGGGACTAGAATCCGGTGCCCATATGAGATGCTGGCGCCGCAGGCAGAGGATTAACCAAGTGAGCCACAGCACCGACCCCTTATTCAGATCTTTTGTCCATCTTTTAATCACAAAGATTAAGAGAATATTAGTAAATATAAATGCATCATAGTAGAAATTTCCCAAAGTGAGATTTGAATGGGACAACTTCTGGGAGTCATTTCTGTGGAGATTCTTCAATAGAGAAGAGAGAGAGGGATACAAGAAATGCTTTTGAGGAAATCATGGCTGAAAAACTTTGAAGTTTGATGAAAGCACTATATTCAGATTCAAGAATGAGAAACTCCAAGCACGTGAAACATGAAGAGAATAACAGCAAAGCACATTATACTCAAACTGTGCCAAATGGCAGTAAGCAGAGTTTTATTTGCCTTTCCAATCATGCCCCTCTAGGACATCCAGGACAAGTTGAAGAGAAGTCGTGAGAACATGTGTTTGTACATTTTGCCCAATTTTAGAGCAAAAACATTTAGGAGTTCACCATGAAGTCTGACGTTAGCTGGAGACTTTACAGGGATGCCCTTTATCTGACTGGGAAAAGTTCCTCTTAATCGCAGTTCACTGACTTTAATCATGAAAGGTACTGATGTCAAGCATCTTTCCACATACGTGGCACTTTGTATGTCATCTTTGTCTTTGGAGTAATGTCTTATTTAGTAAGTTGGTTTTTTTTTTCTTTCTTTTTTTTTTTTTTTTTTTTTTTTTTTTTTTTTGCAATGGGGTTGTTAGGAGTTGCTTAGGTATTTGGAAAATTAACCCCTTATCAGGCACATGGTTTGCAGATATTTTTTCCCATTCCACACGTTGCCTTCTCATTTTGTTGACTGTGACCTCTGTGAGGCAGCAGGTACTTAGTTTAATGTGGTCCCATTTGTTCTTCCTTTTGTTGCCTGTGCTTTGTGATGTTGTACCACCCCCCAACACACAAATTACCAAGACCAGCATCAAGGAGTTTTTCCCCCGTGTTTTATTCCAGGAGTTTCAGTGTCAGGTCTTACAATTATGTCTTTAATGCATTTCAAGTTCATCTTTGTATGTGATGTAAGGTAAGGAGGGTCCAGTGTCCTTCTCCTACATGGGAGTTTCCAGTGCATATTCTTGGCAACCCTGTCAATGGTTGTTTGACCACGTGTGTGTATTTCCAGGCTTTCTCTTCTATCAGAGGAGTCATAACTGATCTGGTTTTCTTCCACCGCTGAGATGTAACAGGTGCAACTCAGACTCGGCTTTTTAAAGTTGCAGCAGTCTGGTAGTGCACTGGCAGGAACTCAGTCCATGGGAGATGAGAGGCCAGCAGGTGCTGAAAGAAAGCTGGAGAACTGACAGGGAGGAGGTGTCAACTGGCTGTGTCCTGGGAGGCCCGGGCCAGGCTGGGTGCCCAGGAGAAGACACAGTTTGAGGAGTTCAGGATGCAGCCCCAGGAAGATGGGACAGTTATCTGAGAGTGGTAGGAAGAACCCTCCCAAAAGGGCCTTTCTCCAAAGACTTAAGGCCAAGCCTGCTGAGGCTGAAACAGAAAGAGCTGAGGGGTTCAGTGGCAGAGCTGAAACCAGCACCCAAGCTCAAGTCTCCAGGTAGCCCCTGAGTGTGTGCTGCATGGGCTCCTTGTCTAGGGGGCGACAGAGAGGCCATCTCATTGCTTGGGCGGTAGCAGAAGTGACTAACCCGGAGACCCTTCCCTGAATACTTTTGCCGCATTGGACCGCTCTATTTACAGACCGCAGACAGACAACCACAAGGAGCCCCTTGCGGCGTCCTGGCGGCTCACTGCTTTCTGTCATCCTCTCCCACCAGGAATCCGACGGTGTTTCCTGCCACTACTGGTCGCTGTTCGACGGTCACGCGGGATCCGGGGCCGCGGTGGTGGCGTCGCGCCTGCTGCAGCACCACGTGGCGGAGCAGCTGCAGGACCTCGTGGAGATCCTCAAGAATTCCGCTGTCCTGCCCCCGACGTGCCTGGGAGAGGAGCCCGAGACGACGCCAGCCCCCAGCCGGACTCTGACCCGCGCCGCCTCCCTGCGCGGAGGCGTGGGCGCCCCAGGCTCCCCCAGCGCCCCGCCCACACGCTTCTTCACGGAAAAGAAGATCCCACATGAGTGCCTGGTCATCGGGGCTCTGGAAAGTGCGTTCAGGGAGATGGTACGTAGCGCCCCACGACCTTCTCTTCTTGGGAGGTTTGGGAACCCTGCGTTCTCCTTGCATGGCTCCCTGGCAGCTGGATAGCAGCACTCTTGGCAGGGGATGTTGGCAAAGATTAAAAAGGAGAGTGCATGAGGTCGTAGATTAAATGCCTACTTGATCACACCTGTTGCGTCAGCCTCAGGGTGAGGCCAGCAGGTGCAGCTCCACCTGATTGAAATAGGAGGGTGGTTGCTCTCTGCTGGACACATGTGTCTCAAGTCCAGGTGTTTAGCAAAATAGCATTTAGTCAAGTGCTCACAAGCATCCTTCCTCCACAGAAGTGACCTGAGAACAGTGCTTTGACCAGGATGGGCCCTGTGGGTCACTCTGCTGGAGCAGCACAGGACCCACAGCCCATATCCAAGAATGCTTGGATGGTAGGGAATGGGGATTTGTCTGTTCCTGCTGGAATGAATCTGGTCAGGGTGTCCCAGGCAGCCTGGCTCCTGAGAATGCTTGGGAAGGGTGTGCAGCTGTTTTGAAGTGGTCCCTTGCTGTCCCTCTGCCAGCAATAGAGGATGAGGTAGGCGTGCTCCTTGTAGCTCTGGCCACCCCCTCTCCTCTCTCTGGGTTCACGTTCAAACTGAGGCGGTTGTTTTTGACCTCAAGATCTTTCCTGAGCAGCAAGTTACATAGAGCAAGGCACTTAATGATTTTTATTAGGATTTGTGAGTAAGGCAAATGCAGATTAAAAACACTAGGAAACAGGGACAAGGTTATTTAGGAAAAAGAAACCGAAGCAGGAAGATTGACTCCTATTCAGGCTTGCTGTTCAACTCACTCTCTGGCTCTTGTAGAAGCTCTGATGTGTTTCTGCCAATTGGTAGATGGCACAGTGCTGAGGCACCATTTGGGGCACCACATCCCATCCTGGAAGTGTGTGCATTAGGGACCCAGCATCATTTCCAATCCAGCTTCCTACTAGTGCACACCCTGGGAGGCTGTAGGTGATGGCTCAAATACTTATTCCCCTGGCACCTTTATGGGAGACCTTGATGGAGTTCTGGGCCCCTGGATTCAGCCTGACCCTGCCCCAGCTGTTGTGGGCATTTGGAGAGTGAACCAGCAGATAGAAAAAAACTCTTTTTGGCTCTCTGCCTTTCAGATAAAAATGAAAAATAGTAAGTGTCTGTACATGCCAGTATCCAGAATGCTAAATACTTGAGGCAAAATTTTGACAATAGCCTCCCTGAAGAAAACGTTGACTCAGGAGGAGTGGAAAGCAAAGGAACTGGATTTTTGTTTCTTTAGTGATTGCTAGTGTCTCTTGACTTGGAACTGCTGTATTCCCAGTTTCATCCACTAGAGGCCAATATCACATTGACTCAGGCCTCCACAAGGGTCTCAGGCTATTCCCGCCCATTGTGGCTAAGGGTTGCTAGCAACAAACATACTTGTAATGAGAGGTTCATTCACAAATTTGTCCCAGCATTTAATTAGCTAGTTCATCACCTGAAATTTTTCTTGAAAATTTAGTTGCCAGGAAAAAAAAATTGCTTGCTTTACTTTTGTGGGGAGCAAACCGGACTAGACTGAGTTACTGGAATTAAGACTTATTCTATGCATCTGCTCTCCCACAATATGGCGCTGGGAGAGAAGTAAACAGCTTCCACACAGCTGCCTCCAGTTCAGCTAATAAACTGTAGGACCTACTCCTGATTGGAGGAGAGCAGCATACTCGGCGTGTGGGCAGCCGAGTTAGGATTGGCGGAGGAGGACTATAAAGGAGGAGAGAGACGGCATGCACCAGGAACATCTAAGGGGAACATGTAGCTGAAGGAACACCTGTGCAGCCCCCGAGAAGAGCCGGCCGGCGGTGTGCCGCTCCCCTGCGGAAGTGGGGAATGTGGCCAGGGGGAACTGCCCTTCCACGGAGGTGGAAGGGATAGTAGCCAACCCGGGAAGAACCAGCAGCAAACCCGGGGAGGGCCGAGCAGACGAAAGAACAGCGCAGGGTTCAGTGTCGCTCCTCCACGAAAATGGGGAGTGACATAATGGTGCCGTGACTCGGATAGGAAACCTAGCTTGGATAGGAAACCTAGGTCGGATAGGAAACCTAGCTTGGATAGGAAACCTAGGACGGATAAAAAACTTAGGAGGGAAGAAACGGGAAGAACTAGGGAAAATATCGGAGAGAGAAACTGGTGGAGAGGTGAGGGCTTGCGTACCCAAGGAAGTGACATCTGGGGTGGGTAGGAGATACAGCCAGGGAGCTGGGAGAGTGTTCTGGTCTGAGGAGAAAGTGGGTGAAGAACCACATCAGAGAACACAGCTGGGCCAAAGGCAGCAAACTGACATCTGCCACGGTGGGAAGATAGAATTCCAGGGCAGGCCCATTGCAAGGTGTGTGGAGGTGCTCTGGAGCCCACCTGGAAGAACCTGGTGTAGCTTATTACAAGGTGAACATCCCTTACCTGACAGGCTCGGAACCAGAAGCGGATTTTGGGTTTTGGAATATTTTACATTTATATAACAAAACATCTTGGAGAGGCAACCCAAATCTAAGTACAAAATTCACTTACATTTCATTTATACCTGACATAGATACATAGCCCAAAGGAAATTTTATATAATGTTTATTAATTTTGTGTATGAAGCAGTTTCTTGGTGTAGAATTGTCCACATAGAAAGTCATGTTGGCGCTCAGAAACTTTATCAGATTGGAACATTCCAGATTTCAGATTTTCGGGTCTGGGATGTTCTACCTGTGTGAACAAGAAGCTTTGAGCTACATCTCCTTTCCGCCTCCCCCCCCACCTTCCAGCTTCCTCTTCACATCTCTGTCCCCCGGTTGTGTCTCTAATGCCCAACACACACCATATGGTTCTCCACACCGTGTGGTTGGCCTCTTCTGTGAGAACACCCAGCAGTTCGTTGCTTCTCATGGTGTTTGGTAGTGGCCACTCTGATGCCTTGCCAGGGACGGAGCCAGTTGACCACTGTTGTCCCAGGGTAGTTATGAATACTGTTTCCTTTCACTCTCAGTGGCATGCCTGTTTGGATAAGTCTTATGTTCACCTTGATCACAAAGAGATGCTCTTGGCTTTCCTTTCTTTCATCAAGGACTTCAGGGGGAAGAAAAGAAAACTTTTCCAGTTCATAGAGATCCTGCCGTATTTAACCCTTGACATGCTTGCTGCAGCACAGAGCTTACACCATCTACTCTCAGATTCATAGCCTGCAAGATCATCATCAACAGATAGAAAAGACTTTTTCTTTCCTCTTCCCAATATTAGGGTTTTTTTAAAAAAAAAAAAAACATTTATTTTATTTGTTTATTTGAAAGGCAGAGAAAGATAAATGGATGATAGATCTGGGCCAGGTTGAAGCCAGGAGCCAAGAACTCCATCGGGGTCTCCCACATGGGTATGAAACCCCAGCTGTCATCCACTGCTTTCCCAGGCACATTAGCAGGGAGCCGGATCAGAAGTGGAGCAGCTGGGACTTGAACCAGTGCTCCAATATAGGATACCAGGGTCACAAGCAGCAGCTCAACCTGCAGCGCCACAGTGCCAGCCCCTCAGTACTGAGTTTTGGAGTCATTATTCAGAATAACATTTTGTGATTTTGGGTTTGTTTGTTTATTTTTAGTACCTAACACTTAGCTGATTTCCTTATCCTGTGGACCTATCTGGCAGAACCCCCCTCAGGCCCTTTCAGAGAGGGGCAGCCTGGGGATTGTTTTCCCCCACACAGTTGTAGGCAGCCACTTGCTGGCTTTCCTGTTTCAAGGTTTTTTTGTTTTTTTCTTCTTCTTCTTCAGTATTGCAGTGTTTGTGCCACTCTGAGCTTCTACAATAGGAAAATTTTTACATTAGATAAGATTGCCACATACGCATTTCAGCTCACTGGCTCTCTTCTCTGCTTTCTCTTCCACTTTTTATCTTTAAAAGGGCCCCAAGCCCAGCACCGAAGCTGCCTCTGACGATGTCCTGCAGCTCCCCATCCTGAGACCAAGAATGCCTCTTGCAGTCCCCCGAAGGGCAGGGCTGCTCCCACACCAGGGGCCAGTGCTGTAATTCTAGTCATTCAGTAGTGTGTGTGTGTGTGTGTGTGTGTGTGTGTGAGAGAGAGTCCATCTGTGTCCCTTCCTCTCTGTCTCTCTCATGTTTTTCTCAATCACCAGAGTTTACTGAGCTTAGATCTTGCAATAGCATCCTTCCAGACCCCACAGAATATTGACGTCAGGGATAAAACGTACATCGGAGGACACTGGCATTTAGACATGATGTGAATATGGAGAAATGCAAGGCCTTGTTTATTTTGATGTCTTAACAATGAAGGAGGTTGTAGAATGTTGAAATCTATCTGAAAGGGAGAACCAATTAAAAATTATCAGAAACACCAAACCAGATTGAATAGTACTTATTTGGGGGAGGGGGTGGTACCATTTGAAGAATATAGACTAACAGAGGAGGGGGAGATAATACTTTGAACAACGGGAGTTGATCAAATACTAGGAGCTTGGAGAGCACCACTCCGTCTTTGATCCTCAGGTTGCCTGGCACAGCACGCGGCTTGTGGGCAAGGCGACCTCTGACCGCTGGTCTTTAATGCTTGCTGTGTGTGCTGTCAGCGGCAGGTTTGCCCCCACAGCTCCCTGTTACATGTCCTCTTGGATCTTCTCTCATAGTGAGAAGGCTGTGCAGCCATTCCCTGCTGTGTCCACTGCGGCAAACAAATGGTGGCTTCCTAAAGGGTCTGAATCTCAGGAACTTCTTGACTGGCTTGAGCTCTGCTTCCCAAAAATGCCCTGTAACAAGTCCTGGATTTGCAGCTGTGTTCTGCCGCCTACTACGTTTAGGTTGTTGCTTGGCCAAGGATGATAGATGTGAATGAGAAACGTCTTCAAATCTCCTGCCTTCTCCATCACTCACCCCTCTCCAGGAAAATGAACAGTCAGCATTTCAGACTGCATTCTGTTGCCAACATAGTTGAAGAAGGTCTTTGTGCTCCTGGGAGTAACAACCAATTCAGCGCTACTTAGCATTTTAACCTGTGACCTATAGAATTTGAATCCTGGATGCAGCCAGGAAGACCACAAACTTGTGTCCTAGTTCCTTTAGAGTGTGCCTGTAGATTCCCTGCTGCAATGAAGAATGCTCTCGGAGTTTAATTATTAGGAAGGAGGAAAGCTGATGATGTTTTAAATTATTTATGTGGGAGACAGACAGATACGGAAATACATCACGTGTGTAACCACGAAAGTTTTCCTGTTACTGAGTGAATGATTCAGTACACCAGGCAACTTGGCTTTGTTGGTAAAAATCACGTAAATGTGGACAACATGGTGATGCAAAGGAGGCAAATGAATGGAAGGCATACTCAATTCATAAATCCTGGTGTTTCAAAAATTAGCGTGTTTGTGATAAATTGGGGAACTGGATGTCTGTATTTTAGTTAGGGTTGTGTTTTTGTCCGTTTTTTGTTGGAACAGGGAGGTCCTCCAGGAAGCAATGAGCATGTTACTCCACCAGACAGCCAGCAGGTGGCAACATGAGGCAGAACCGTGCATTTTTTTTTTCTGCCTTGCCTGGCTGGCAGATGGCCTGCTTCTCAGAATAAACCAGGATCAGATCCGGAATACCAGCACCATGCAGAATCTTATTATTTGTGACTGACACTATTAGCGCTGTGCTCAGAACCACGTTTCAGCCTAGCTAGGGGGAGTTGCTCCGTCCTATTGAAACTGCCCAGCGCTCTCCCGCTTCTGCTGTCTGATGCTGCCTTCCTTCTGCAACCTGAAATCGCTAGGAAACAAAGCATCACCCCAGAGTTGCATCATACGGGACTTTCAACCCAAATTACAGCCATCCCGGCCAATGATGCTTTTTTCCTAGCAATTTTTTCCTGCTGAATTAGTCTCATTTCATACATCTTTTCCTTCTCTGTTCCCACTCCTTGCAACAAAAACTGTGCACGATAAAATCCAAAATCTTAAAAATTGGATCTATTCCATGATTGAGAGCTAAGCCTAGCTTCAATGTAATGGTTAAGCAAACATGACACAGGATAACTCAGTCCTAATAATTGAAAATTGCCTGGCAATGTCTTCAGGATTCTTGATTGAGCAGATAAATCAATTATCTTATTAATTGAATCTTCGAAGTCATTTTAAGTGATCCTTGTGGGCCGTACTTGAAAGGGATGCATGTGCATACGCATGTGCTTTGCCAGTAAGTTAGTCTAGATTCATGTCCTGGGGTCCATCGACAACTGAAATGAGAAAAATACGCCAAGTCAGCCTTTGTTTAGCACAAAGCCATAGGCAGTTTCCCCCCATGATTTCACTGCTGTGTAAAAAACCCAAAACTTTTTGTTTTTTTTTAAATAATAGTTTTACGTTTTTAACCTAGAGTGTAAAAAGCTATGCAAATTTGAAAGATGGAGAGCTTGAAAAAAAAAAGGCATAGTTAATTTAATGGTAAATATATCTCTATTGACTTCGTTTATCATGTTTGATCTGATAGTAAAAGAACCACCCAGATGGTCCTTTCATGTTCCCTTCAGTATGAAGATTTTGTGAAACATCTTTGAGAGAGGAGTAGGTGGTGTGTGTAGGAAAAAATAAATGTGCTATTTTGGCTTCTAGGGACGAGGGGAGGGGCCCAATTATTTTTAGAATATGTTCTTGTTGCACACAGTTTAAGAAGAAATAGAAGAGTGTGTTTTAATGTCAGTGAATCCTTCAGGGGGATGAAGTCTACAGAAACACATCTTTCAAATTCTTGTCACCGTAATCCCGGAGTGTACCCTTGTAATTAAAGTGTGTGCACGTGTGTCACCCCACACAGATGTGGAGGAGGGGCTTGTGAAAGCCAGCACATATGAGCAAAGTTGCTTGGATTAAAAATAGGCTTTCATCCACTCTTGACGAGAAAGGGCTGCCAAGTTTAGTATTTCTTAGTCTGAGGGGGAGCTATGGAGAAAATGCAGTTGAAATGCTTAAAAGAAGAAGAAACAGTGAAGTCAGGGGGAAAAAATAATTGAATCCACTGTTAATGGAATAGCAAGGGATTAACCGGGTAAGCTAACTGGAATGTTTTTCCCCAAAGACTAAAAACAGATACGAACTCAGAGCAGAACATCTTAGTGGGAACACTCTGTCTTGATTTTTCCTCCTTAAGGATTAAATAATTTTAATCAAATTTTCTTGTGACACAAACTGTGTAAACAGTGCACCTGCCTACAATGCAGAATGAGCTCTGAGGAATACCTTGCCATAGGAAACTCTTCCTCCTTTTAGATTACACTAAAGAGTTGGTTAAGTCTGTCAGACCTCATTCACATTCCATTCCTTACCTAGCATGGAAGCAGTCGGGTGCTCAAGAATTTTTAATAAAAATTGTCGCTCATTCAGACTTGAGTCACTGAGATGATGTAATTAACAACTCACAACAGTACATTAAGAGGGCTAATTCTACAGGGTTTAAGTGATGTTAGAAATCCAAGATGCCGCTGGAGGTTACATCCTGATAAACCCATTCTAAATGGAAAATGGATCTCCTGCACCTGACCTACAGAACATGGCTTAGCAGCACTGTGCATGGGAGAACATGAGTGTTCGGTGATTGCAGGGTTTACTGAGAGCTGTGGTGACCGCCACAACCCAGTATCATGAGAGTATGTTGTACCATATATCACTAGCCCGGGAAAAGAATAAAATTCAAAGTATAGACTTGCTTTGGCACCACCATAAAGTTGAACACTATTAAATCCAGCCCATCCTAGGGGGAGATCATCTGTATCCTCTCGCAGTTGTCCTCAGGCTTGACTCTTCTGCAGCTTAAGAAAATATATTTACTTATTTAAGACAGTCAGAGAAAGTTCCCATCACCTGCTGGGTTACTCCCCAAATGCTAACACTGGAAGCCAGGAACTCAATGCAGGTCTCCCATGTGGGTGGCAGGGACCCAAGTACTTGATAGAAATGTTGGTCTGTTTTTCAGTCTCTTGGAGAGGCCTCAGAAGTTGGCAGGTGTTCCCAGAGGGTCCGGAAGGGGAGCCAGGTGGGAGTGCAGCTCTGGCCAGGGCATGTGGGCAGGCTGCCCCACCTCTCTGCGTCTGAGCAGCAAGGTTACTGGAGAGGGTGTGAGACTCAGGAGCACGTGGGCTGGTGTCGCGCGTGCCACAGACACGATGCCTGCTGTAATGAATGTGCCACTGTTGTGAATTAGTGGCTGTGAGGAGAGAAGGCAGGTTGGAGTTAGGAAGCAGGCTCTTTGATCTGAAGTGGAGGGGTTGACGCCTGCCTGTTTGACGTTGAAGACACCTCCTATCTAGCTGTAAAATAAACTATTCAAACTTGGGAGGTAAGACATTGAACAGGTCCACATATCTGGCATTTCCAGCTCGCTCGCTCGCTCACTCTCCCACTCGCTCGCTCTCTCTCCCACGTGGAAGCTCCTGAAGTTCCTCCGAAAATCTAACTGTTCCAGAACCTACCATAGCTATTGGATGTGGTGGTGTTCTGCTCGTTTTTATCTGATTGCTGTGTCTCTGGCCTGCAGATGGGCTGGTGTGTGGCAGTTTTCCACCAGGGTCCTCTGCATAACTGCTCGAAAGGTGGTAGAAAAGCCAACACAAGGGACAAATGTAAGAACTTCTTGTCCCTGGTAGTAGCACATCCGAACTCAGGACTGGGATGGGGAGGAAAGCCTTTGACCCCAGTTCGTGCGCAGCCCAGCACTAACTTTGCTTTCTTCTTCAGGACCTACAAATAGAACGGGAGAGAAGCTGCTACAACATCTCTGGTGGCTGCACAGCCCTCATTGTGGTTTGCCTCCTGGGAAAACTGTATGTGGCAAATGCAGGGGACAGCAGGTAAGCGAAGTAACTATCTAATCCTTCCAAATTTCTCATGCCTCGTGATACTGTTTGTCTTGAAAAATTAAATGACTGGAAATGAAATAACTGGGCTTGGGACTGGGTAGTGAGACTCATAAGCCTTCCACTTCCTAATCATGTGTGTTAAAGAGCAATCAGGTTGGTATGAAAGGAAAGGGCGATCCTTGGATTGCCTGTAGTAGCAGTCCTGCTCAGCTGTGCCTGTGGTTCATCACAGCAAGCACCCTTCAGATGTGTTTTGGCTTCAGAAACTGTTTTCCCATGGAAACTTATCAGACAGTGCTGAGAGGAGAGGAAAGGGATTGGAGTGAAGTGGATGGTAGGGGGAGGGGGAACGTGGGAGCCCCTCCCCTCGTGGGTTCCACTTCCACGCCATGGCTTTGCACTGTCTCCTGCCAGCAGCCTGGAGACTTTGCCTGCTGTACACACACCCTTGTGGAGGCTGGAATCGCATCTCTTCCTGATTCAGCTGAAGGGAATTTTGGCCAAGAGAGCATGGTTAACTCTCAATTTATCCAACATTATCAGCGAATAAGATAAGTGTGTTTCGCATTTCTTTTAAATAACTGGTGCTTTTTCGCGTTCAGTGTGAGGAATTTTTAATCACAGATGTTGTGAAAAATATTCCAATATTTTTCTAATGTCTAATATTCTAATATTATATCTTGGCCTCTTTTATAATAAAATATGCAGCTATATAGCTGGTCCTTTAAAAAAAGATTATTTTAAATGCAGAACAACAGAGAGAAAGGAGCAAGGAGGGAGAAATCTATCCACTGGTTCACTCCCCAGTTGGCCACAACAGCCAGAGCTGGACCAGGCTGAAGCCAGAAGCCAGGATCTGCATCCATGTGGCAGGGACCCAAGAACTTGGGCCATCTTCCACTGCTTTCCCAGGCACATTAGCAGGGAACTATAGCAGAAGCTGAGCAGCTAGGTCTCAAACCAGCACTCTGGTATGGATATGGGCACCGAAAGTAGCAGCTTAACCTGCTGCAGCCAAACTCATGTCACTCACTGGGACCTTTTCTTAAAGACTGACTCCTTATTCCGTAAATAACAGGTCCTGGGCTCTACGCACCAACAGGTCCTCCACATTCTCGGAGGATGAATGATTTTCCTACGAAGGTTATGTTCCAAGGATTCTCTCGTTCTTCTAGGTCCCGTACCTCTTGTCAGCATCCCCACTCACTCTGGCCCTCCTGGAGGACCGGGTCCTGCAAGGCAGTCCCAACCTCTCCTGACTGCACCTGCGCTTACAGAGCAGGAGACCCGAGCCTAGGGAGCTCTCCCTTCCTCCCTGGAAGGCAGTCTTTCCCCACCTTTCCTGCTGAATATCCCAGGGAACGAAGGCAGGCCCGCTGCTAGGACAGCAATCTGGGAAAGGGGGTTGCAGATTGGTGTTTTTTAATGGCCAGTTTATTTTAAAAGTATGAGATAGGACTTCAGAATGTTTGTGGAAAATGGAATTAAAATTAAAAAATTTTTGAAATGCATGCATTTTTTTATAATAACTATTTTCCATGAACTTTTTGAAGGAGCCTCATGTATGGATGTCCTGTTTTACTCTATAAGAGCTCTGGACTTTAAAAAATGTCTGTGTGTGTGTGTGTGTATGTGTATTTGAGATGCAGATAGAGTTCCCATCCACTGTCTCGCTCTCCAAATGCCCACAACAGCCAGGGCTGGGAACACAGAGTCTGAGTCTCCCACGTGGGTGGCAGGGACCCAGGTACTTGAGCTGTCGCCTCTGCCTTCCCAGGGTGTGCATTTGCAGGAAGCTGGAATAGAGAGCAAAGCCAGGCCTCGGCCCAGGCGCCCCAGATAGCTCTAGTTTTGATGTTAAATTTTGCCGGGTAACTGGAAGTATGTGCAGATGCTCTGTTTATCCCGCAGCTTCTGTTCCCCAGTGTCAAGGCAGCAGCGTTCTGACGGGAGACAGACTCCACCTCGGGTGGGGCAGCTGGGAGTGAAGGAGTGGAGGGATCCAGCCAGGAATGCTGAGGTTCCTGGGGAAGGCGTAGGCCTCCCCGGGGCATGCAGGGATCAGGGCAGGAGATGCTACAGCTGGGCAGCAGCTAAGGGAGTGAAAGGAGGAGATTCCTGGACTTGACTCTGTCCCCCCCCCCATCACCTGCCTGGGCTTCCTGGAAGCCAGCCGGGCAGAGAGGCCCATCTGTACCCCCAGAAAAGCAGCCAGCCCATCCGCTGCTCCTTTCCTCCCTGCCTGCCCCTGGGGTTGAGCAGTTTTAAGACAGGAATCCTCAGTCCTTGGAGCTTTTGGAAACACACTGAGGGGCCCACTTCTAATCTTGAACTTCACAGGAGATGGGCCACTGAGAAGGTGATTGCTTTCTAAAGTAAGACCAAGTTGGTGGTTCAGCTCCGGTGCCCACACTCACCTTTTGCCTTTGTGTCTGGTGCTGTGGTCTTTAAGGTGAGTTTGCATTCCTAGCCCATTGAATGACTGAGTGCCTGCCCCCTCGGAGACGGGCTCACTCGCCACTCCCAAGGGAAGTACCTGTCACCAGCTGTCCTCAGCCTCAGAAGTCAGCTCAACTGACTTCTTTGCGTTAGGTTGCCCTTCTAGCTTAACCTCTCCCCAGATGCCTTTTCCTCACTTTTAAAAATTTATTTTGTTATTTATTTAATTTAACAGAGTATGTGTGAGTGAATGCTCCCTTGCATCTGGTGGTTTACTCACCAAATGCCCACAACAGCCTGGGCCGGGCAGACCAGGGAACTCAGTCTGGGTCTCCCAGCTGAGCCATCACCTGCTGCCTCCCATTGTTTGCATTGGCAGGAAGCTGGTATGGGGAGTCAGAGGCAGGTCTTGAACCCAGGTACTCTGACATGGGGCACAGACATCCTGATCTGTCTCTAAACAGCTACGCCAAACATCTACTCCTTTTCTCATTTTTAAACAGTTTCCTTCAAAGCTCTGAGCTCCTTACTGGCCAGGGCTTCTCATCATGCTTCCCAGCACGTCTGCTCCCTGACCAGGGACCTGCCTGTCCCAGGTGTTCGTCTTCTGGGCTCTTGCCCATTTTTCTCTCTGTGGCTGCCAATTTCCAGAGCAAACCTCACTGCCCTGATCCGTGAAGACAGTGGGTTTGGACCAGATCATCTTTAACATTTCTGGTGTCTTGAAGGCCATCCAGGGAGGAGCGACACTTCGGAAACTAAAGTGGTGTCCTAAAGATTGAGCTTCAGAGCACACATTTCTTAGAGTCAGTCTTTGACGTTATAAATGAGGGCTCTGTACTTCTAAGTGTTGGGTAAAATATATTTTACATGTTATTTCCAATATTTTGAAAAGTCTGACTGGTACTTTTATCTTGAATAAATTAGGAAGCACCCAAAATGTAACAATCCCATAGTCAAACAGTACCTCTCAAATCTAGCAAGCTTAATTACATTTTGAAGTGTTCGGACCCCAGGGCCCAGATGTGAATTTGGGATCTTCGAGCTGATTGGTTGAGTTTGCTGTTTACACATGGGACACAGTTCACATAGAAACTGGAGACCAGGCAAGTGTGGCGGTGTGGCAGGTTGAGGTGCCTCATAGGACGCCTGTGTCCCGTATCCGTGTGCTTGGTTAGAGTCACAGCTGCTCTGCACTTCCAGTCCAGCTTCCTGCTAATGCACCTGGGAGGCAGTGGATGATAGCCCGAAAACTTGAGTTTCTGCCAGCCTTGAGGGAGATCCAGATGGAGTTCCTGGCTCCTGGATTTAGCCCCGCCTACCCTCAGCTGTTGCAGTCATTTGGGGCGAGACCAGTAGATGGAAGATCAATGTCTCTGCCTCTCTGTCACTCTGCCTTTCAAATAATTAAAATATTAAAAAAAAAACCACTAAGGCCAGTATGAATAGACAATTACACTAGCCCAAGAGTCACTTATAGGACACATACCCATTACAGTGCTATTTGGGGCTCTTTATAACTGGTAGATTCTTACATACAATTATTGCCCAGCTTGTATGATATCTATATAGGTATTTGGGTTCAGTTCTTCCCAAGAAATAACCACTAAGTGAACTTTGTTCACACCTATAGAAGTCCCTCGATCATAATCACTTAGGGACAAGCAGTGAGGAATCAGAGGACTCACTCGGTTTCAAGCACTGATTAGAGCTGACCGACTCTGGCAGTAGAGGCCTGGTTAAGTGTTCGTTTTTCTTCTGTACTGCTAGACGTTAGCTGGTGTTTGTTTAAATCTTGATAGTTTTAAGAGTGAAGGTGACTCTGTGTTGCGTGTGCATTATCTGAAAGCTTTGCTTTGGTTTGACTTGGAAGCTCCATTGTCCTGGGTCTGTTGTCTAAGCCATGCAGCTGTGTATGGTCGGATTTCCCATCAGGCCTATGTGTGCATAGGGGTAGGGGAAGGTTGTCTTCAGGAAAAGCTTCCTGATGCTGTTTGTGGCTCATGGGTGTTTGAGGCAGTGGCTGTCCTCCATGTGGAGTGGTCCACACAGATGCAGGCAACTGACCCATGGTGGCCTGGTCCACAGCTGGGGACAGACCTGCCCTTCTCTGCTCCGCTGAGCTAACCTGCCGTGGAGACACATGCAGTAACCGCTCAGTGCACGCCAGTTGTTTTATTGTTCCCAGGCAAAGGCAGCCAACACAACACCTAGAATCATGAGCACTAGGAAAGAAGCAGATGGTGGGCGGATTTTTCACTTCAAGCAAAAATGAACCAGTAGCATGCAAATGACATGCAAAACAATATGCAAATATCACCCTAGTGTCTGAGTCATTAGCTCCTTAGGGCCAAGAGTGAGTCCTTGGTTTAGGAAGGTGCTTGACTGGATTTTAGAAGACAGTTTCAGTTTATTTCTAGAGAACTAAGACACTGAGAAAGCCAAGCCATCACCACTTATTTCAAGCAGAATCTAAAGGTTTATCAGCTTAAACTAGGAGAGAACCCATTTAGGTGAAAGAAAACCCTTTAAGATTTGTTAAATTCTTAATT